TCAACGTCAACTGCCAGCGCGCGCTATAAAACACCAGAACGAAGCGGTCAAAGGCTAACAGGAGCTATCAGTTTGACTACTGAAAAAGTCGACACTAATCGATGTAACGAGCTTCGCTTCTCCCTTCTCCCTTTGGACCTATTCTCCGTAGACAAGCGATGATCACGGCTATTGTTCCCACAACATCGGCTCATGGCATCCACCTTGGAAACCACCACCATCAAGATATTGAAGCAGCGAGATGAGGGCCACGCATAAGGCTTCGTAACCCTTAACCAACAAACGTCACTAGACCCAGATATATCTCAGGATTAACTGGTGGTTTCGCAAGGCTCCGTCCCCACTAAACACGGATGTTTTCGAATCCTCCATCAGTTGCAATCATTGCACGCACGTACTCTGAAACGAGGGAGGCAGATCAACAACGGGATCGTCCTGGCGTTACAGATTAGTTCTTGTCGACTTTTGAGAGGTGGCTTGGAGGGAAGGCTTGCACCTCGCGTGGTAATACCAGCCTTGGTTCAGTCTGAGCCCTGGCCCATCATAGCATGGATGTCACTTTGACTGCCGACAGCGTCACCCGTTAGCATATTTCTATCAAGGGATGACCATACAAAAGAGGTCTGGGATGTGTTTGTTTCAGGAGGAATTTAATATATGCAATTATACCCAGCAACCAAGAATATAGAGTTTGGCCTCCACAGAAAAAGTCCTCTCCGATCACAACACAAGGAGATAATCCAACTCCCCAAAGACCCCTTTCACACCTATGCAAGTACAAGTACTTGTACTCGATTAATAAATGGGTTATATATGAGACGACGCCTGGTACCATGCCGATTTCACGGTGCGCAGCTGGGCTCAGTCGATTCTCTGCATTGTGCTTCTATTGTCGGCCAGCGTGTGATAGATGGGTCTTCGACCCAGGACGCGAATGCTTAACTGAAAGCCAAGTCTCGGGAAAGCTGGGCCGGGTGACAGGGCAAGGCATTGATGAAGAAACATGGGCTTTTCATTTTGCACCTCTCGCTTGGATCTACACGTATGTGGGCAATACGGTGTTGGCATTCTAATCACGTTCCCGTGCCAAGCAGGATCTACCGATCAACTTGCTGGAGACCGTCCCATGCCATGACAATAGGACTGGTTGGGTTAAGACAAGCTCTCTTCAATGACTTTTTGTTCAGTGACGCTTCTTATGGGATTTCGATTAATCTACCGGCATGTCTCTACCAACTTTATGGATGTAGTGGTTAACTCGTATCGTGATCTAGTTAGCACATAGCGTTGCCAGACTTGACTCTTCCGTGCCAGTGAATGAACCAAGAATGTAACTCGTTGTTCGTCTACCACTTATGCGCAACCGTAAAATAGATATTATATAAGGGCGACGTAGGCATGTAGGTAGCAAAGTTAAGTATGAATTGTGTCATTGAAGCTGGGTCAAGCATCATGGAAATGTGTAATGGAAGTTTTGGCTGTAGTTGAAACTAATAAATAATAGTTTTTTTTTATAGAGACCCCTACTTATACAAGTCATGTCTTTTATGTTTACTTTGTTCAAGCAGACACAACTTGATCTGTTCCGACTCTAGTAAGTGGTCTTATATAAACGTCTATTTTGAGGTGGCTTCGGTACTTAGTTGAAGGTTCACCAGAGCTGGTGGTTAATGAAGTTGTTATTTGTAGGTGTGTGCTAAGTTGGGAGTCAATATTATAACGATTTATACCATTATTAAACGTTCCTTCAATCTAAACACATTCAGTTTGTTACCGAGTTATTCATGTATTAATTATAACTAAGGCCACGATATCTTCACATGTTGCTGTTTAGCTACAGACATTCCTCCCTTTAACTTCAAACCAAAAAGCGTCATCATCAAACAAGAACACTCAGCGCACAGTGCAAGAACCAAGTACGATCTCCTCAACGTGGGCAAAATGATTCGCCAGGCTTAGCCCCCCCAGCCGCCGCCGCTCTCCTCAGAGTCAAGGAGAAATCCCCCCTGAACAGGAACAGGTCGGTCTGGAGGTATCAGCCAGTTTCTGTTCCAGTTACAGTACAGCCGGGTACGGTCTGTGATACACAGCCAGTACCTTGCAGGTGCATCCCACTGTCTAATGATTGCCCCCTGTACACGCGTCAAAGCAAGCTTTGCGTGGTACACGGTCTGGGAGTGCCTGTACCTGTACCTGTTCTTAGTACACACAGGTACATCCACATTTTGCTCGTGTTGGAAGCAACTGGCTGATCAATTCTTAGTGCTCATCCCTCCTCCACTAATATGCGTTAAAATGCCAATTTCAGAAGGGGAAGAAAACCCTTACAATATTTTTTCTAATTGCCGCGCCTCAGCCTGGACTGGCTTCCGTCCACCAAAATAACAGCAAACCCACACCCCCTGGATCCAAGATCCATCCATTCATTGCATTGGCCTTTCGAGATCTAGTCAACGTTGCTTTAGCTATTCCCCTTTTACCTTTTTACGTATGTGCCAACCAACTAACTAAATTACTCTTGATTCTCCTTATCCCCAGCAATCTCTCTTTTCCTCCTCCTTTCTCTTTTTCTTTTCTAGAATCAGGGACGACTTCTTGTTATCTTGTTTCTCTTCAGTCCTTCTCTAGCTTCTTAACGACTTACTACTGCCAGTACTACTTTATCCCTTGCTACAGTAGCTTGCCTTTTTTTCTCGCCTTTTTCTCTTCTTTGAGACTCTGTCTTGCCTGGGCCCCGCCAAATTGCATATCAAGCACCCCTCGCCTTCCCCGATTCTATCCCATTACAGGACTCGGCTGTCCGTCCGCTCGTTTGCGCGTCCCCCCTAAAATCTGTCTTCAAGGGGTCTCTTATCTACAACTTCTCGTCGACAGCCTCAACCAACCTTTACCAATTCTATCCCCCAAACCACCACCAAATAAATAATTAATCAAAATGTCGGCCGACGAAAAGATTCGAGTCTCTGGAGAGACGCCTCGTTCGACTACTCCTGTTCTTCCTACGGTTAACCCCGGTCTTGAGAAGTCAAAGCCCGCTGGTGCTTCTATTCACCCTACTTTCTACGTTATGTCAGTAACTTTGTTTCTCGAATTGACTTTTGCGATGCCACTTTTGCTAACGGCCTTTGCAGCGCCTGGATCGGTTTCTCTTCATCTGTCATTCTATTCAACAAATGGCTCCTCGATACCCTCAACTTCCGTACGTTCGCTCCTCGATCTCGTCACTCAATTTGCGGCTCCCTTGCTAACTTTGTATGCTTTCAGGCTATCCGGTCATTCTAACGACTTACCACTTGACTTTTTCGACCATCATTACCCAGGTTATGGCACGATGGACTCCCTACCTTGACGGCCGCAAGACTGTCAAGATGACCGCTCGCGTTTACGTCCGTGCCGTCGTTCCTATCGGTATCTTCTTCAGTTTGAGTTTGATTTGCGGAAACTTGACGTACCTCTACCTCTCGGTCGCTTTCATTCAGATGCTCAAGGCCACCACACCCGTCGCTGTTCTCATCTCTGGCTGGATCCTGGGTATTTCTGCTCCCAACCTGAAGCAGTTCCTCAATGTCTCAGCCATTGTTGTCGGTGTCATCATTGCGTCCATGGGCGAAATCCACTTTGTGACCGTTGGTGTGCTGTTCCAGATGGGCGGTATTATCTTTGAGGCTCTCCGACTCACCATGGTCCAGCGTCTTCTGAGCTCTGCTGATTACAAGATGGACCCTCTCGTCTCTCTGTACTACTTTGCTCCTATTTGCGCTGTCATGAACGGTGTCGTCGCCCTTATCTGGGAGATCCCCAACTGCACAATGGCCGAGGTTTACCATGTTGGCCTGTTCACTTTCTTCCTGAACGGTCTCTGCGCTTTCATGCTCAACGTCTCCGTCGTCTTCCTGGTAAGTTTCTCTTGGCAAATATTAGTCAGAAATCCAACTAACGTCCTTTTCAGATTGGTAAGACTTCCGCTGTCGTCCTTACCCTCTGTGGTGTTCTTAAGGATATCCTCCTGGTCGGTGCTTCCATGATGATTTGGGGCACACAGGTTTCTCCTCTCCAGTTCTTTGGTTACTCCATTGCTCTCGGTGGCATGGTTTACTACAAGCTCGGATATGAGCAGATCAAGGGCCACATTGCTGACGCCAACCGACAATGGGCCGACTTTGGTGCTCGCAAGCCTGTCCTCCGCAAGGTCACCGTCCTTGTTGCTACCGCTTTCCTCATCTTCACCCTTTTTGGCGGCTTTGCTCCTAGTTACTCTTCTGAGGTCGACCCCACCACATTAGCCAATGAGGTTTCCAACCGCTTCGGTATTAACGATGCTCAGCATGTCTAGAGCTCTCTGATACACTGTGGCGATGGGATACAAGACCCTGACGTTTACTTTACGGGGCGAACGGCGATCTAAGGAACTCTTTTCTATATCCATTATTTCCTTATGTATTACGCCAACCGAGTTTTTGAACTTGGCTTGAACGCGTCCATGGTCGGGTTGACTAGGCGCTCTTTTTTCTGCGGATTGGAGACTTTTTGCTATATTCTGTTTGACTGAGGATGGCTGGGTGGTATTATGATGTGTAAAGCCATAGAGCTGGGCGCAGAGCGCGAGGTAGCGGTCGCATGCATGAACCGTATCACGAATGGTCTAATTGATGTGTAACTCTAGACGGCGTTTGGCCATAGACATGTAGAAACGAAACGGGTAACAAGAAAACCTATCTTATCAAAAGTTCACTTTTTCTCTCCGCTCTCTGTCTCTATTCATGCACGCGACTTTGCCGTGGTGAATCACTTTGACGGTAATTTAATTCATTTTATGGATTCATGTACCTCGTAGACATTCAACCGTCAAGAAGAGTCCTCAAGGTCTATTCAACACCTCATATGACACCAATTCATTGAACTCCACCAGTGGTATCCTTCGGTCGGGACAACACGTCCGTCCGATCCGCGTTGTATATTGACGCTACAATCACGGGGCAAAGTAGAGATCTGATCTTGTTTTAAGAAACTTCGTATTGAGCCCATAAAAACCGGGGTTCCTTAATGCCATCGATGCTCTTTACATCCCGCCAACTCCCTAACCGTGATGGAGAAACGATTCCTTTTTTAAAACTCTGTAGACAAATGTTAGCGTGTGCCCCGCACAAACAAAATTTGTGTCGATTAGCACTCGGCAGGCCAGTGGCGGTGCACAGCTCTACCCAGATACCAATGCCACAAGGTCGGTATAACGTACTGAGAGGGGTGAAGAACCATCGGTTCTTGCCGCTGGTGTATCGCTCCTCGAGCACCTTCTTGACAGTCTTCTTGGCGTCCTCGCGCTGAGAAACCTCCTTGAAGGTGTCGTTGGAGACGGCACCCTTGAGACCCTCGAGCTCGAGAGTGTAGCGAGTGGGCATCAAGTGGTTGTAGTTGATGACCTTGATGAAGGGCTTGATCTTGTTTCGCTTCTCCTGGCGGGTCTTGGACATACGGCGGGTGATCTTGGAGGGGTATCGCTCAATGCCGGCAACCAGGGCGTGACCGAAAGGGTGAGGCTTGTTGCCGTTGTCAACGGGCTGGATGATGACAACCTGTGAAGCAAAATCGAGTTAGCGATCATTGTTCCCTGTGGGACTAAAACGGAATGTAAAATCGTGTCCCAGCATGTCGTTTCTCTTTTGTTCTGCGCCTCGAGATAGTCGTTCGTATACATAAAACACTTGAGGTGTGTTCTTGTTTCCCTTCTCCCCTCCCCCCAACCCTATCTTTATTTGATGGCGCAGAACTCGGGAGATGCAATGGCAGCACGAAATTGTCGTGGGCGTCGTACCTTCTTTCCGGCGTATCTGCCGCGGGTGATGATGGCGACTCGGCCGACCTTGAGGAACTTCATCTTGTCCGGCGGTGTGTTGTCTGCTGGTTAGTGAAGTTGCGAGGAGTTGTCAAGACAGACGTATGGAGATTGTGGACGGATTTTTTGATTTCGTCGCAAGCGAATGTGCGTGAGTGCACGGGCCATCGATAGGTCACGTGTCAGATAAGCCCCAACATGGAAATTGCAGTTCGAACTGGTACCGTATCGTGAAAAGAAGCACTACCAGTCTATCAACAGAAGTAAATGGTAAACTATAGAGATCTAATCGGACTAATAAGAGGAAGAATATATTAATGAGTGGAATGCTTGTACTTCAAATACAGTATAGATATTATGTATCATTAGGCGCTGCACGGCGATGCTGATTGTCGTACTACGAACTTAAGACAACTGCATGCCCGAGTTTATTAGAACTGCGATTGTTTGATTTGAAAGAAGCTCGCCATAGGTAGTCATGTACCTCAGACAAGGCATGCTTTCCATGCTATCAGCTTGATAGAATCGCCGTCTGTTAATTTCTGGGTTGCGTATACCAGCCTGTGGCCCCCAATGGGGAAAGGTTTGTTCTGACCATAAAAGGCAGTGGTCCTCCCAGGTGACAGAGAATTCACGACTGGAGGGAGGTCCTCGGTTCGATCCCGAGCATCGCTATGTTTAATGTTTTCTTTTTTTTATTGTGTCACGTGAGCAGACAACTTCCTCTCTAATGTTACAGGTGGGCAGAGTAAACTTCATTGAAGCATCTCATTCAGCCTAATTCTGTATACTTATTCACAATGCCTGCTGCACCAGCGTACATCATCTCTCGCGTTGCAGACCCGATTTTCGGTGTTCTGATCGGCCTCTCAGCAGCTGCTACCAGGATCAATCGTGAGGAGAAGGATAAAGGTCGAACAACTCAACAGACTCTTGAGGCTGCGCGGCGGTAATATTATCTCACATTACTTGCTTCATTGTTTCAAAAGCTAATTCTCAATCCAGACGAGTAGGGCTTTCTTCCAAGTCTTCTTAATTCAACCTGTCTCCAACCACTGGGTTGTTGTTTTCACCATGTTCAACTGTACAACTTGGCGTCATATTCGTTTTTAACTTTTTGGGATATCAAGCCTCATTATATATACACAGTCTATTCGCCAAACGATGGACCATATTCCTTCTTCATTGCTTCTCGCACGATTTGTCCGCAAAGCTTGGCTGTCGGGTTGACACTGACAGCCAAGCCTTTTGCAATCGGGTTGCCATATCTTCCTCCAAACGCAAGGTCCCGAGACGCAGCCTCCTCAAAGTCCAGCCTTTCCCATTTGGATTCATCAAGGGCCTCGTCGATATCCAGTGAACGTGTCGGCAATAGTCTGGCTGTCTTGAGATATAATGCAGCTCGTTGGGTGTGGGCCATTGATAGAGTGCGTGCGACCTGTGGGGAAATAGGTGTTGTTGTTGATGGTGGGGAAAGCAGGGTAATTGAGACCTTCATGTCCCCTAGAGCTGTAGTGGCAGCTTTTTTTCTTTCAGTCTGATCGGGATTCTCGATCAAAGGCATGGAGTTGTCCTTGCTATCCGATAACAGCATGGCATCGCCATACAATCGCCTCAGGATCTGGACGCGGTTGTTTCTGGCGCTGGCATAGTTGGGGTACTCAGAAATCATACCCTCGACTGCTGAAAGGCTTTGTTGATAGCCTTTGACGGCAGCATCTTTAGCTTCCTCAGCTGAGAGACTCTTAAGCTGCGCCTCAAGGCTTTGAATAGAACGGATGATTTCGCGCTCTTTTTCGACTACCCGCTCGTACACACTTGCATCTGTGATGTTTGGGTCGCGGGGTAGTGAGGAGTCAAGGACGATGCCGGCATATGGGTTGGATTCAGGGTCCTTGATTTTCTCAAGGATGTTGATGTCATGTTTGCTCAAGCACACGGAAGTCATGTTGGCCTTTGTTGAATAACGATTTGGCTGATAACACAGAGGCAACCTTGATCTAAAATATTGGAAAACCGGCAATGGGCAATATAATCAATTCGGGTTACGTTTGAAAAGCCTCAGTTCGGGAATACTCGGAAATCTGTCAAGACGTGATGAGGCAACGGAGATGGCGGTTGAAAAGGCTGGCAGGCGTTCTAAATATCATTTCTGATATTCGGCTTACACCAAGCCGACCTGCCATTGTTGGCGTCTCGGCTTTAGCGGGAGCATTCAATACTACGCGGCCAACCTCCACATCACCGATTATGGATATGGCAATCGCAAGGATGATGCTTCGGCCGACTTGTTGCTGACAGTTCCGCAGTCCTTGATATGATATGCCGCCAGGCTATGGTCGTTAACCCGCGTTGATGCCTATGGCAGTAATCGGCCCAACTCGGCTTGGTGCGGTTGGCGCCGCAGCGGGACACCGGCGGAAGGTTCCGCAGTAATAGCCTCACAACCTCTAACAACTACCTTCGGCATTACCGCCCATGAGATCGATCAACTAGGACATCTTGGCTCTTTGATGATATCAGTCAGGTCGTGGTCTGACGCGGAAGCCCCGCGCGTGACTCTTGAGCCTGCCATGACTGGAATGGCTTTGCTTTCTTACACCGCAATTGTCATTGGTCCTCAGTGTTATTCATACGGAAGACCCAACGAGGATGTTACCGATAGATCTGGCTGGTATTGACCTATCTCCTGCTCATCCTGGAAGGTGTCTTGGGCCGCACAATGCCTTCTCCAGGCGGAGGCGTTCCGTCAGATATGACAAAGAATAAAACAAATACCTGTTGCTTCAACGGTTAAGCCGGCTTTGAATCGAAATCAGGATTTCTTACATATACGTCTGGACTCCCCCATCTTGTTCCTCATTATCAATTCAGCACATTCACGAATCAGTCTTCATAGCTTCTCAAAACCGCCACAAAAAACAACTTGACTTCAGCTTCAAACCTCAAATAAACGTTTACCCTATTTTGATATCAAAGGCTCACCTATCGAACCGTCTGTGTGTCAATGTCCCCTTCTGCCATCACCAACTCGCCTCCCCAGCAGGCTGTCCAGCCTACTACTGTTCCCATTGCCTCTTCTCTCGATCAAGTCGACAACACCTTTGCGGTTCAGCCGCCCCCTAACTTCACCGGATATGACCACATAACCTGGTGGGTTGGCAATGCCAAGCAGGCTGCCTCCTATTATACCAACCTCTTTGGCTTCAAGCCCATCGCCTACAAGGGTCTCGAGACTGGAAGCCGGTACTTTGCCTCATATGTGATTGAGAACAACGGCGTTCGCTTTGTCTTCACGTCGCCTCTACGATCTGAAGCTCACTTCCCTGATGATGAACCCATCTCCAAGTCAGACCGAAAGCTCCTCAAGGAGATGTATGCTCATCTGGAACGCCATGGTGATGCCGTAAAGGATGTCGCCTTTGAGGTCGAGAACGTCGAGGGAGTTTACCACAAGGCTGTCCAAGAGGGCGCCGTTGCTGTCCAAGACCCCAAGGTCAGTAAGGACAAGGAGCATGGCGCCGTCTCGACAGCTGTCATCTGCACATATGGTGACACCACCCACACCCTTATCTCTCGACAGAATTATACTGGGCCCTTCCTTCCCGGTTACCGTGCTTGGAAGAAGCACACTGCTACTGTGACTCTTCCTGAAGTTCCCCTGGTCCGCATCGACCACTGTGTCGGAAACCAGTCTTGGAACGAGATGGACTCGGCTTGTGCCTTCTACGAACAGTGTCTTTCATTCCACCGCTTCTGGTCTGTGGATGACTCCCAGATCTGCACCGAGTTTTCGGCCCTGAGCTCCGTTGTCATGGCTTCTCCCAACAATGTTGTGAAGATGCCCATCAACGAACCTGCCATGGGCAAGAAGAAGTCTCAGATTGAGGAGTATGTCATCTTCAACTCTGGTCCTGGTGTTCAGCACATCGCCCTTCTTACCCATGATATCATTGGTGCTGTCACAGCTCTCCGTGCCCGTGGTGTTGACTTCATTGATGTCCCCTCAACATATTATATCAACATGCGCCACCGTCTCAAGACTGAGCGTCGCAACTGGGAGCTTAAGGAAGAGTTTGAGACTCTTGAGCGTCTCAACATCCTGATCGACTACGATGAGGGTGGCTATCTGCTACAACTCTTTACCAAGCCTCTCATGGACAGACCCACAGTCTTCATTGAGATCATCCAGCGCGAGGAATTCGATGGTTTCGGGGCTGGTAACTTTAAGAGCCTGTTCGAGGCTATCGAGCGTGAGCAAGCTGAGCGTGGTAACTTATAAACGACCGGCTCTTTGCATTCCACGCATGACTGCGGAAACAGCAGTTTGTTTGCAAACCACATGCAAACCTGACCTAGTAACATTTCCAGAGGAGGATACAAAAATTCCGTTGAAGCACGAGACGAGTTTATGATAGCATGACGTTTATTGCGATGCTTGACCCAGATACACCGATGCTTGCAAGGCCTTTTACCTGCAGGACTATATAGACTGAAATGAAACTGAAAACTTAACAATAATTTTGATACCCCTTTTGCGCCGCTTGTGTGGCCGTGACAATGATGCTCATTCACGATAAGCTATTGTCAGATTAAAACTCCACAATTGTTTTATTAATTCCCGGGTATAAATATGATCCCTCCTCTTGGCATAAACAACCGTCCTGAAAACCTCATGTCATGGTAACATCGCCATTGGTATGCGCAGCCATACCATTCGTTTCGCCCGATGCAGCGGCACCATCAGTCTTTGATACTAAACTTTGGCAACCCGGACAGTTATGAACGACCTCGTGGGCAAAGACATCACAGTCGATACAGAAGTGTTGCCCGCAAACTTCACATGCGTAGCGTCCGCTCTCACTGACGCCTTTGGCTGTCTTTGGCGCGCCACTGTCTTCTTTAGTCTTGTCATGCCCTTTGTTCTTTGGTGGTTCGGGAAAGGGTGCAAGACATGAGAAGCAGGCTGCTGAGGTGGTGGCTTTGGCCCAGGGTACTTCGACCCAGTTCCGTAGCGGGAATAGATGGTGATAAGATCGGGC